CACTCCACTTACCCTGTATTATCTCCTTCTGTCTTAGTACTCTACCTTCTGTACCCCTGACACCTTCAGGCTCTTACCCTCTGTATTATTAGTATAGTCCTTCTGTATTTCAAGACTATTAGAGAGAGATAAAAACACTCGTCGCAAGCTAGCGTAGTTAGAAACAAATATAACCCAAACCTCAAACCCTAAACCCTAAGTCGGCCTTAGTTATTATAGTCCTTACTTAATAAATCTAGCTCTTAGTTTCACTTACTAGCTAAGTATTTACTTATACTACTAGCGTATAACTCGCCGATTCCGCGCTCTTACTACTACTAGTCTAGCTACTCCCTCTCCTTTATATACTACGAGCTACCTAAGACTCCTTTTCTATTTATAAACCCTTCTAATAACTACTATTATTACTTCTACTACCCTTATTATACTCTTTTACTACTTAGAACTATATATATAAGTCTATAAACTATATCTGAACCTTTATAATAAGCCCTACTACCTTGCCTTTTCTGAACCTCTTTTAATACTTCTTATTCTAATATATATAAGTAAGCTTAAGGCTTAGTGGCTTAAACTAGTAATCTAAGTACTACTACACGCTAGTAATAAGAAGGACTAGCTATAAAGTTAACTAATCTAGTAGTAGTAGCACGCTTTAGTAGTTATAATTATAGCTTAACTTCTAAATATATTACTTAATAACTTTTTAGATTTCGCGATTTATATAGTATTTATTATAAAGGTAATAGCTATATATTTTTAGCCTAACTATATAGTAGTAACTAAGCACGTAGTATATAAGAACCTAGTAGTTAGTATTAAATATCAGCTACTATTAAAGCGGGACTAGTAGTAGTAAGTGTTATACTAAAGTAGTAGTTATTATACTTGAAATTCAACTTTAGATCTAAAAGAGTTATTATAATCTATTTAAGGAAAATATAAAATATTACCTTTAGAATATATTAAGCTATTAAGTTTAAAGTCCTACTACTAAACGTATTTAGTCTAGGATATATTTAGTCTAAGGAAGTATAGTCGTCTAGAGGTAAAACTAGGTATAGACTAATAGTAGTATATATAAAGTCGGCTAGAGCGTAAATAAAGTACGACTCTGCTTTATAATCGTATATAGCTTAGTAGTAAATCAGAGGATAGTATCTTTACTACGCTACTACCGCGTTTACACGCGGAAGCTAATTTATTTATTTAACCTATCCCTTATATACCTACTCTATAGTAGTAGTATTAGAGCTTTATAAACTAGCTTTAAGCTATAAAGAAAGTATTACTTATCCTTTCAATATACTGATATTTATTTAGCTATAGTAGTAGTAGTAGTAGTAGTAATAGTATTATAAGACTAAAAATAGGAGAAGTAGATTCGCCTTAGCCTTAGAATAACTATTTATAATAATACTAATAAATTAGAAGTAGTAAAAGCAGATTTACCTTAAGCTTTAAAACTCCTATTATAATACGTGTTAAAATAAAAAAAGTAAATTTACTTTAAAGCCTAGAAAAGGTTTATATATATATCTCTCTTAGGTAAAAGTATAAGAGATAACTATACTTTAAGCTCTAAAAGAAGCAGAATAAGGCGTATAAAGTAGTAGTATAAAAAGTAACTTTACTTTAAGCTTTAAGAGAACTATTATAATATAAAAGGTAATATTACTTTAAGCTAAGAATAAAGCGTAATAATATATCTGAAGTATAAATAAAAATTAAAAAAGATATTATAATATATCTGAAGTTTAGATAAAAGTAAAAGTAAAAGAGGTAAATTTACTTTAAGCTTTAAAAAAGCTATATATTTATATCTAAGGTAAAGCTAGAAGAGGTAACCTTACTTCTAGCTCTAGAAAGATAGTTATAATAGAAGTAAAGGTATAAGAAGCAGATTTACTTTAGACTTTATAAAAGCTATATATTTATATTTAAGGTAAAGCTAGGAGAGGTAACCTTACTTCTAGCTCTAGAAAGATAGTTATAATAAGAGTAGAGATATAAGAGGTAGATTTACCTTAGACTTTATAAAGACTATATATTTATATCTAAGGTAAAGCTAAGAGAGGTAACCTTACTTCTAGCTCTAGAAAGACAGTTATAATAAAAGTAGAAGTATAAGAAGCAGATTCACCTTAGGCTTTAAGAAGGCTAAATATATATATATATATATATATATATATATAAAGAATAGTAATATAAAAAGTAACTTAACCTTACCTTAAGCTTAATATTAAGCGTAATAACACATGTAAAGTAAAGAAAAACAGGTATATCTACTTTAATAAGTATAACTTTTACTATAATTTATCTCTTTAGAAGTAGTAATAGTAGTATACTAGTTATCTTAGTAGCTAAAACTCTACCTTAGCTCTATCTTTTATATAGTTACTCTAGTAAATATTATTATATACTATAAACTAATACTACTTATTACTTACTTCCTAATTTTAACTACTACTCCTTAGGGTTTACTTAAGTAGTAGTATTTAATATTAAGATATTTCTATATTATATATAGCTCTTTTACTAGGAATCACTTAGTATAGCTAGTCTTAATATAACTTTAAAAGGCTAACTCCTAGTTTTAAGCCGCTTTTTCTTTAAGTTTAGAAGTAGTAGTTAATAGATAACTTCACTTACTAATATAAGCTACTTACTTATAATATTGAATTAGCTTATATTATAAGTAATATTTACTTTAATAGTAGTAGTAGTTAGTAGAGATATCTTAAGGTGTAATAATAATACTTTTACTAATAAATTATTTAGTTACAGCTACTAGGTATTATAAGCATAAGTATTTCTTCTTAGAGTCCTATAACTATAGCTAATTAGGTAGCTATTAGAATATATAATAAACTACTACTTTAAGCTATATAATCGACTTTTAATCTTACTTAGCGAACTTAAAGAAAGAGCTTAGTAGTAGTAGTAGTAGATATAAATAGATCGATAGATATTAAGTATACCTTTCTTAATTTATTATTATAATACAGCTACTACAGAGTTTATTTATATTAATAGCCTAGTCCTACTATTATAGTAGCTAGGCTATAGCTAATTAGGAGGCTATTATAATATTTCTCCTCTTATAATAACTAGCTATACTTTAATAACTCTATTCTAACTTATATTACCTAGAGACTTAGTCTAGTAGTAGTAGTAGTTTATATAAGTATATTCTTATAAATAATTAATACTTTCCTTAATTAATTATTTAAATATAGTAGCTACTTAGTCTTAGTATAGTTATATTTTAATAAAGTATAACTTATACTAAAGAAAAACCGCCGGCTAATTAGGAGCTATTACTACTATTAATATAACTAATTAGGAAGAGAAGTATACTATACTTCTCTTCTAACGATAGTAGGGCAGCTACTACTGCCTCCGCTAATTAGCAGGGGAAGTACACTGTACTTCTGCTGGAAATACTGTTAGGGTATCAAGCCCCGAAGAGGGGTTTTTTTTCTCTCGGTATTTACCGTTTCAGTATTCACGGCTTGCTACTATCTCTTTGTTTAGCTGTCTCCAGTACTATTCTTCCCCAGGTTCCCCTGTACACAGGTTTACTAGGGTTTACCAAAGGCCACTGTTTGAGCATGCTTCTTCCGTATTCACAGTGCGTACCCCTTCTGTGGGAGCTTGGTTCTAAGGAGCTGTGGGAGCTACAGGCCTTATGGGAGCACTCTGTCTGTGAGGCTCCCCTGGCAATAGTGCTGTGTTTGTGTGGGAGTGTCAATGTCAAAATTGTAACCGTGCACTGTACCAGTACTATATAGCTAGAGCGTTCCCCCTCCATAGAACAGCAACGAATTCAACATGCTCTCTACCTCTCAACAGGTACTGTCACAGAGCAGAAAGCTTGAGCTGAGGGAAGCTCAGGACTTGACTATATTATCTAAATTTAAACCGCCTCTATCACTTGTGCAGTTTGGATTGCGGAGTACCACTTGCTAGAGCTAAAACCCCGAGATTGTATTTATGTTAGGTTTCCAAATAATTGGTTGATCAATTGACAACTGTTTCTCCATAGGTAATAATTCAATTGGCTTGTTAAATGTCGTTGAAGTATTGAATATAAATGCTCGGCCGAATTTCTCTGCCTTCTCATCACCTCCATGCCAAATGGGACCTACACCACATTGGTTTCGGGAGTTGTGGTGATAATTGTCCTAGTCCGGATACCGATATGATATTTCAATCACCTGTACGGACGAGAGCTTAATATTTTAGGCCATTAATACACTGGCAGAGCATTCTACTGACAAAAGGTGCTAAGCGAGAAGAATGCTGACCCTTTCAAAGCGCTCCGTCTTTTGTTTTTTTACTCTCGTGGGGGCCACGGTCGATAATCAATTGCAAGACTGTGACTGAAACTATGAATACTGTACATTGTACTAATAGTAATGCCACTTCTAACAGTGGTTTCAAAGTAGTGGAGAAGTGCGAGGAGAGAGTGATTGAAGCGAACGGTTCTTTTCGATCAATAAAAAAGGTCAAGGACCTGAGGCACATCGGGATCGATAGCTGCTGTTTGTTTGTTAGGCAACTCTCCGTCAGAAGTCTTCTTATATGTCCTAGTAGATAGGTAGAGCCAGTGCGGTAGGCAGAAATAACTCGTATCATCCCAGCGTCTCTGAATATGAAGAGTGGTCCAATCAGCCTGCGGACTTGGAAAGGCTAGTAAATAACAATTTGGTGAAATCGCCCGGCCCTCCATGAATGAATTCAGAGAGCATATAAAGTATCTGGGGGCAGGGTAAATTGAAGCAAATTATCGATGACCAGGCATTTGAAGGAAGAAGGCAGAGGGCAGAGGGCAGAGGGCAGGCAGACCTCTTTTGATGCGACGTATCGCACAGCTGTGCGACCGATAACCTTACCTTGCGACAGCCTCTAGCCCTGAATGATACCAATGCAGTAATTTCTCGATGTTCGGAGGCATTCAAAAGCCATCATCGGCTTGCGCTGGACCGCCATTTGCCGGATGGTCGAGCGTCGTGTTCAATAGCCGGAAATTGCCAATTCAAGCCGTTGATTCGAGCTAGTTGTTAGCAGTTGCACCCGCAAACCCGCTTCCCCAACAGTGGGAGTGGACCCCCATATCCAATGACCTCCAGCTCTTCTCCGGTATAATTAAGGCCGAGACCGCAGGATCCTCGAATACCTTCAATTTCACTCTCTTTCAATTCTTCTCAACTGTTCCATTGTTATTCAGAATGGCAAAGACATTTGACGCTGCTGAAGGTATATTTCCAGAATTTTCCCAATGTATAGCTGCTAACTCCTCCGTACTAGTCGCGAAGCACAATACCCCAGAATCTTGCTGGGTGAGTCTTTACGGCGATGTCTGGGACGTCACGGAATTCCTTCCCAACCACCCTGGCGGCTCAAACATAATCCTCAAGCTAGCTGGCCGCGATGCGACAGAAGAATACGACCCAATACACCCTCCAGGGACCCTTGAGGAGAACCTCAAGCCCGAGAAAAAGCTCGGAAAGATCGATCCTCTCTCATTACCTAAACCTTCAGCAGATGTCGCAGAACAGGAACAGGAGAAGGAGGGCCCGCCAAATATGCAGAGTATATTGAATTTGGATGAGATGGAAGAGGTGGCCACAAAGCAGATTTCGAAGAAGTGCTGGGCGTACTACTATTCTGCGTCCGATGATCTCATTTCAAAGAGCTTCAATAATCTGGTCTACAAGCAGATTCTACTACGGCCAAGAGTTTTCGTCGATTGTACGAGATGCGATACCTCGATAACACTCCTAGGGCACAATATTGGGATTCCATTATTCGTTTCGCCTGCGGCAATGGCTAGATTAGCACATCCCGATGGGGAGCGCGGAATTGCTCAGGGAATCAGCCAGTTCGGAGCTATGCAGATTGTATCGAATAATGCGTCAATGACGCCCGAACAAATCGTAGAAGGATCTCTGCCTGGCCAGATCTTTGGCTGGCAATTATATGTCCAGAACGACCGGAAGAAGAGCGAGGACATGCTTGTCCGGATCAACAAGATGTCAGACAAATACAAGTTCATTTGCTTGACACTGGACGCTCCAGTGCCAGGAAAGAGAGAGCATGACGAGAGAGGGAACCTAGTAGGGGCATCACTCCCAGTATCATCTGGCGTCAAGACCGCCGACGAGCCAAAGAGACCTGGCGGGGGCGGTGTCGGACAACAGCTGTTCTGGGGAACGGCAGCAGATCTCACCTGGAAGACGACGTTAGCCTGGCTGGCCAAGCACACAGATCTGCCGATCGTTTTGAAGGGTCTTCAGACCCACGAGGATGCGTATTTGGCCGCGCAATATACGCCACAAGTCAAGGCTATTATCCTCTCTAATCATGGTGGTCGTGCTCTTGATACGGCGCCTCCTGCTGTTCACACCCTCTTGGAAATCAGGAAGTACTGCCCTGAGGTGCTCAGTAGAATTGAAGTGTGGGTTGATGGTGGTATTAAGAGAGGTACAGATGTCGTAAAGGCTCTGTGCTTGGGTGCGAAGGCAGTGGGGGTCGGACGCGCTGCCTTGTTTGGTCTGGGTGCCGGTGGCACAGAGGGGGTAGAGAGGACCTTTGAGAGTAAGTAATTGAATAACTACTTGAGAAATGATATGCTAATTGTATTGTAGTCCTTAAAGCAGAGACAGAAACATGTATGAGACTTCTCGGTGTTAAGAGGGTCAGTGATTTGGGACCGAAGAACGTGAGTATCCCTTCCTATTCCTCTCTAAGGAAATTACTGACGAGACATAGATCAATTCACGAGCTGTTGAAAGAGACATTTATGATGGTAACGCTGGACTAGAGAAGCTTGGCCTCTGGGTCAAGGCTAATTTGTAGACCTTTAATTACCCATAGACGTGTTGATAATAATTACTGTTCTGACACTGTACCTCTTTGACTAATTTTTCGAATCATATTTAGCGCAAGCTCTCTTTCTATAACATCTGGCTCCCTTTAAATATGTTAGCTCATGCTTTGCGCTAGCCACTTTTAGAGGCGGGGGAACTTCTTTGCTTTAATTGTAAGTTTGGTAAAGGACCTGCTGCTGCTTTAAAGAACACTACTAACTACTGCTAAGTGTGGGTTTTATAATTTTAGTCGGTGGCGTAGGGTCCTCATTGCCTGTCATATAGTAGAAGAAGGCAGAATGTTTGCAGAATGTTTGCAGAATGTTTATATTGGTCCGCAGACCTATACTATAGGAATATAGGGGGCATCAGGGGGTACAAGTAATCCCGGTTAGGGGATAGACCCCTTTCGGATACTAACTAGGGGTTATTCGGGAGGTAGTATATATTCTGACCCTTAGATACTCTTTATAATAAACACTTTTAAACACCTTTAAATTGAACCTTAGATTTTAACATATATCGATATATACTTATTATTTGTTTACCGGTACAATACTAACACTTTCCGTGTTAATACCAGAGTTGTCGCGGAGCTATACTACAATCAACTCATCTTCAGTAGGATCGATTAAGAAGTATTAATCAGGGAAGCTCCCACTAGAGGTAACAGTAAAGTGCTATAAATTGTCGTTCTGGGGTACTATGTTGTCCCCTTTGAAGTAGCCCATCAACGAACGATCCATCCGCGTTGACGTAACGGGCCCGTACCCTCATTTGTAGAGACCTATGAACTCGTTAGTAAGTATCGACAACAAGGGAGTCTGTCCTAGGGATATTAGGTCAGAGTCAGACAGAACTAGGGGACTGCGTTATCTAGCTGAAGTCGTGTTAAAGCTGATAATCGAGAGCTAAAGGAACGAGAACAGGAGCGACAAGGAACCAAACGAAAATGCAATTTTCTATCCTACTGAACTGGATATTAATTACTTGTTCGATGGTACTATACTAACGTCTACTAAGGAAGACTTCTTAACCACAGGCCTCTCATCAATAAGCAACGTGCTCCTTGTTAGCTTACAAGGCACTAGCCTCTTCTCAACTTTCACAAGCAACAATCCCGGGGTAGCTTGGCCCTTCGCATCAAGTAGATAGATAAAGCGGTATCCTTGCTGTAAACGATCGAGCCGGATACAAGCCCATGCAGCTAGATTATCTTTCGCGTATCGTGCGTCCTCGATCTTAAATCTAAAATCGATATATCAGATTGATCTTCACTAAGAGAAGTAAAAACTCACCTCACAAAACTCAACTCTTCCACTACCTTCCTTATCGTTGGAAACTGCAACACTGACCCTTGCTCTCCAAAACTCAGGTGGTCACCCTTCTGATATCCTGTTTTCCTTTTCCTATGCTCTGCAGGTAACGGCTCCGACCCATCCTCCTGCTCCTTCTCAACATGCAGCTCACAGCGCACATAAGGATGGAAACTCTCGACGACTTGGTCTTCCGGGATAGGGATATACTGGCCTGCTAAAACTGTTATTTTGAGATCCAAGGTCTGGAACTCAATCGTCTCGGTCGTATCGCTGCGGTAGCCAAGAGGTTTCAACACCCACCCGTGCTCGCCTGCGAACATGCCCTCGTTAAGCATCATCCCCTCGTCGAGTTTCTGCCAGTTCAGCGCAACCATCTGCACGCCTTTGCGCCAGAACTCGGAAGGGTCGACGTTCGAGGAATCGATTCGGAAGCCAGCAGGGTATGCTCGCATGAAGAAATTACGATTATGCAGGAACATCTCGGTCTTTTTGGCTTCGTACAGTTCCTGGATCCGACTCTCTCCGATTGAGTAGATATGCGATGGTTTCGTAGCTGATTTAACATCGAAACTAGAAAAATGCTCGCTATGGGTGTAAATGCCTAGATTGCTGAGATTCTCACAGATCTTGACCTTTTTCTTTCCTACTGCTCTCTCATCCTCAGATCCTGATATCGAGTCTGAATCTGTTTTTGATGGTGTTGGAGCTAAGGTGGTAGGTGTAGGAGATAGATCTTGTCTATCTGCTACAGCTTTTTTAACCTTGATCAGGATCTTCTCAGTGAGTTCTTCCAGCCGCGGGAGTCGCTCTTCAGGATCGCATTCAGGATGTGCCGTGTCGACAAGAAGTCCTTCCCACTCCTCCTTCATGATATCCACCATGACTTCCTGTTGATCCAGATCCGCATGGACTTCTAAGCTCACAATAAGTGGAAGCTTGCTTGTCAGGAAAGCGGATTCCCTAATCGATTTGCAAACAGCTCTGAATCCAATTGGTGCAGTGAGGGTCCATCCATGTAAGACCAACGGCTCGCCACTTATTGTAGACCGCACTGAACTCGCCCTAGGAATTGAGCTCCCTACTTCTAAAGAGCTTGATGTGATATTCCTCCCACGCTCATCCTTACTACTTGGCGAACCACGGCCTATCTTCTCAGCTAACTTCTTTTTAGCTGCTTCGAACTTCTCGTCTGCCTTCTCAAACGCAGCTGCTGCTCGACTAGATAATATGCTTCCTGAATTATGTCGCTTGTGATCTTTCTTCGGAGATTGGGGTTTCTGGGAGGATGTTCGGGAGAGGTTCTCGCTCGATTTGTTATCCGGTGCTTCTCCATTGTGCACGTCTATCTCAATACATCGGCATCCGCGCAGAAGTACCTATCTAGTTAGTAGGCGCTCGAGAGAAGGGATTCTAACTGACATTCTTGTAGGCATCCGTTGTACTTTTGGACATGAGCTGGTTACCTGACAGATACGTGTTGTGGCTACTGCTGACATAGTAGTTGCTAAGAGGCTTGGTCATGTCTTTCTCCTCTGGCTTAACTTCCCTAATAGCTTCAAACCCGCGATTATAATACACCGCCTCGAGAAACTGCTCGAACTTGTATTCCGCTGCATCCAGATTCACAGTAGACTGCCCCTGCACTGTAGCCAGCCATGACTCGAGCCTGGCTCTCGAGAGGGTGGGTTCCTCCTGACGTAAGCTGTCGTAAACACGCAAAAGATACTCTTGAACATTGTGTGAGAGATACAGATGATGAGAGGCAACTTCGGAACTGGTTTCTCCTCCTCCAGCCTGAATCAGCGATCGGAAATGGGCGGTATGTGTGGGAGACATGAGGGTAGACATAGCGACTAGCTTGTGCAGGGAGTATTGTTTGCCTGTCAGGGTGAGTGAGGGCATAGTTGTAGTTGTGGTTTTGACCTCAAATGCCTTGCTAGGTAGGGTAAGCTCAATCGGACTACAAGTACTCCACAATTTGACGTTTATCCACTGTAGCTAAGCTGAAAGCAGGAATTATGTTGTATTGTACAAGACAGGTAAGCTTGGGAAGGCTGGGAGGTTAATACAGTACTATACAGTACTGTAGTCTGTAGGTTTTAGTTTAAAACTAACTGTCCTAACTTATCTCTTATCATATCAGGTACGTTCCGACCGACCAGGCTAGGCTGCCCTGGCTGCCAGGCTGCCAGGCTGCCAGGCTTCCAGGCTGCCAGGCTTCCAGGCCAGCAGAGTCTCGCTTAGTAACCTGAAGAAGCATCACAACAGATCAGATAGCCCGGCTCCTGGCGAGCCTGGTCAGTGTCAGTGGTTGCTAGGTAGACTCTATTACGGTATTTTTGCAGCGCGGAACAGTTTCGAAGAAACAGTTTTCTCGGCCGTGCACGACTCAATAGAGTAAAGCTGCAACTGAAAAAAGGAAAGTTGCGTGGAGACATACGAAAGACCCCTTGTACAACAGTTTAATTGCGTCTCCACAAGCTGTGGCTGTTTGTTTACATCCGGATTACTGAATTTAGTTTAACTCACGCTTAGTCATCGAGAACAAGGACTGAAAACTGTACTGGTGTTGGAGTATACTGAACTGCTGGTCCGCAGACCTATACCATGGAAATATAGGGGGCAATCAGGGGGAGCAGGTAATCCCAGTTAGGGGGAGGACTCCTTTCAGATGCTAACCGGGGGTTGTTCGGGAGGTAGTATATATTCTAACCCTTAGATACTCTTTACAATAAACACTTTTGAACACCTTTGAACTGAACCTTAGATTTTAACGTATATCGATATACACTTGTTATTTGTTTACTAGTACGATACCAAAACTCACCCTCCTTATGAAAACCTTCCTTGTAACCTCCTCTAGCACCTTCCTAGCCATAATCCAAGCCGACTGCTCCTCGTGATCCTTTGAAACCGCTTGCAACCTTGTAAACTAATACAAAGACCGCGCCTCTAGCGACCTCGCTGCGCTCAAGGAATCCGAGACTGCCTTCTAGCGCTTCTAAGACTAGGGCTGTGAGAACAGATACCTGATTGTGATAGTGTTGTATTTAAAGACGTGGGTACATTTTATTAATATCTTCCTATTCAATACTTTATATAATAGTATTTGTGAAGTGGGCTCTTTTAATACCAATCATGTCCTTCCTCGCCAAGCTTCTCCCCTTTCGGATTCAAACTCATCAATCTCTGCCCCGGCATTGTAATACCATTCTGAGCCTCAAAGATCCCAGAAATAGCTCTTCGGCCTATCATCGTAAAGCTGTCATACGGTTCTCTCCCTTCAACCTCCAGTCCATTGATAGCAACCCACTCGATTCTATCCGGCGACTTCCCATCCCCAAAGTCACACCATCTAGTTACAACAATAGCTTGCCTGAATCTAACTATAGGATCTTCCTTATCCTCTGCCAGTTTTAGTTCAACCAAGTACTCGGATGGACATTCTGGACACCTTCTTATGGGTCTGCATCTCGAGCATAGACTGACAATTGGATTCGGTCGGAGTAAGTTCCGGTGTATCGTTGGTCCTTGCTTCAGTTGCTGTGCAGCGGTCTGTCGGTTCTCAGGAATATGCGAAAGCGCGCATTTACACACATCCATCAATTCTCCATCCCTCCAATGCGCACACGCACTAAAATATGGCGTATAATCTTCTCTGTTGTACAACAGATGTCTCTGTCCACTCGGCGGTAGCTTTGCCCCAGCGAAACTCTTACTCGTGACGCGCATCAACAAGTGGCCTTTATGGATATAAAACCGGCTCTGATGAGACCACTCGCTGTATGGATCTTTCCACCGTCTCCCTAGTTCGTTCACTGGGATTCCGTATGTGGAAACTCCATATCGCTCGCCTCGCATGACTAATTGCACGAATGTGAATGGTAAGTTCCAGCCTGGAGTGATCCGCGCTCGAGGGGCGACATGGCCGGGCTTTCCAACCATTGGGCACCTGTAGATCGGATTCAGAACATTGGCTCGTTTCAGTGACTCTCCTCCTCTCTGTATTCTCTTGTGATATTTTGCGCAGGAAAAGCACAATAAGTGACCTGGCAATTGCTTATCCAGTGTCATCAAGAACCGTAATTTCTCCTTCCTGTTCTCTTCCTTCTCTAGCTCCCACCACGACTCCGCTCCAACGCGCATCAGTAACGTTCTAGTGGAGAGTGCTAGAGCGGCTTTGTCCCCAGGGGCCAGAAAAGAAGCAATTCTGCCCCAAAGCTTGACGGATAACGAGAGAATATCGCGTTCACCAGGCGGGCGCCATTCTTCCTGGATCTTCAGAGCAGCGAGCGAGTCCAGAGAATCATGAGACTCGTGATGAGCGAGCCCATGGAGCAAATCCGTGTCATCTCTCCTTTCTCCAGTCTGCTCATCTCGATTGTCGTCTGAAGGGCGGTAAATTGCGCCATGAGCCAGGGGCTTGTCCTTAGGAGGTGGTACTGGTGGAGGGGAGAATAGCGATGGTGGTTGAGAAGAGGAGGTGGTGCTAACTCGAGATAGGGCTCCCTTGGATGGGGCTTTTGTGAGCTTTGCCTTGGTTTTTGGACGGAAGAGACGGGACATAAAGCCCTGTTTTTGTGGTTCGGCCATTATAAATTGGGATATGAGAAAATATGATGATACAAGAGATTAATGTTAAATGTAGATTTGATGTTGAGGCTCCTGAGATCCACCCCTAGATAGATGAGGAATGGAGCGATCAATTGCGTCTCACAGCATAGATCGCAATTATCGTCAACTTGCCTGAGATGAGAGAAGATGGGGTGACATGGAATTAAAAGATAGAATGAAACAGAGATAGCTTGCGATGAAAATATGCACACCGAACAGTAATCGCGTTCGGATGACGATGTTTCGTCCGGCTTCTCCGCTAGAAATTTGTTTGGAGGCCTTAGCGAACATCCGTGGCCCGGCCCAATGTTTCAGGGACAAGCCTTCCCATGATCGACCAATCGATAGGGTCACCGCTCAGGCGAGGCAAAGACCCAAAAAAATCCTATGGTACAGCCTCGCGTCTCCCTACTATCGACAAGATCGCGAGTTGAAGTCTACGACCACTCAACACAATGGCCATTCGATATCAACAGCCAATATCATGGCTCAATTCATCCCCCGCGCTGCTTTCCCGGCGCAACTCAACCTTCCGCGCTCCTATTATCTCGGTCATCATGCATCGGGTCTGTCGAAAATGAAGACGATGCTTTCGTCCATTGACCTGATCATCGAATGTCGCGATTACCGTGTGCCCCTCACATCGCGGAATCCCCTTTTTGAACAATCCCTCGCAGGAAGAGAACGCTTGGTCATATACACAAAGAGGGATTTAGGGAGTAAGGATAGACCATCTGATAGAAGGGTTCGTACTTAATATTCCTGAAGATCTTCCGCTGGGAGCCTAGACTGATCGGGATTGTGCAGAAAGAAGATATCATCAGACAATGGCACGCTCCACACCCTACCCTTTTCACAGACCATAAATCAAAAAAAGACATGAAGACCGTTTTAAACTTTGCCAAAGAACACGCCTGGAACCGACAATCCCTCCTCGGCTCCCGAATTCTCGTCGTCGGTATGCCCAACGTCGGCAAATCTTCTCTTCTCAACGCACTGCGCATGGCGGGGGTACATAAAGCGAAAGCGGCATTCACTGGAGCGCAACCTGGTGTTACGAGGAAGATTGCCAGTGGAGTTAAGATTGTAGAGAGGGATGAGGAAAAGGGTACTGAAGGAGTCTACTTAGTGGATACACCCGGTGTGTTTGTGCCATTCGTGCCAGATGCAGAAGCCATGGTGAAATTGGCGCTCGTGGGCAGTGTGAAGGATACGATCATCGCACCGGTAACGCTATGCGATTACCTGCTATATCACATCAACAAGCAACAGGGAGGAGAGACTTGGTATGCGGAGTACGGGCCACCCACGAACGATATTACTGAGTTCTTGGATGGGGTGTGTAGGAAGACGGGGAGACTGGGGAAAGGTGGTGTTCCGGATTTGGATGCGGCGGCCTTGTGGATTATACAGAGGTGGAGACAGGGGAATTTGGGGGCGTTTACACTGGATGAAGTTGAAGAGGATGGCTTGATGAATAAGATTAACGAGGAGGTTGGGATAAGCGTAAATCAGGCTAGAAAGCAGGCCAAAGATGCACAGAGGGCGAGAGGGAAGGCGAGGCATACTGCTGAAACTGTATAAGTCCAATTACAGGGTTATATGTCTCTGTTCTTGCACCGCATACCTAGTAGATGCTCTTAGATAGAGTCTCTCGGGGAAAGATAAACCTAGAGTAGGTCGATAGAGAACTGAATCAGGTAAAGAATACCTAGCTCCGAGACTGTTTAGTAGTAGAACAGGACTTTAAGACGAGGAAGTTCTACTTTTCACCCTCTGAAATATACAGGCCTAAAATATTGCCTTTTGCCGATATATACTTCGCTTAGTCTAGGGATATAAGAAAAAAGTCAGCGGCAGTAATATATAAGGAAAAGTGGAATTGTTCCACGTTAAATAGGATTAGCAATCGGTTATTCTACGAATGTTACTATACTAGAGCCTCGGCAGCTCAACCCAGTCGAGCCCAAACAACACATTGGAACAGCCTTGGCCTCAGGCAACCAGACATCCATCCATCCATCGCTCCAGTAACAAATTCCGGCATTTTCCCAACGTGGCAAAATCATCAACACACCATCTCGAAATCGCCCCTGGATTCGTGCAGCACTTCCAAAGATAACCAGCAGATAAACTTCCAGTTCTCCACAGATCAACTTTCTACTTCCACGATTTGTTGTGAGGATATGAAGATCTTTATTTGCGCGCTTCTCCACGGTGAAGTCATAATTTGGATATGCACAGCTGATTCGTGATCCTCTGTCCATGGTGAAACTGGCCGAACTGCTGCCGGATTTCACGAGGGCCGGTGTCTTGAATAATATGGCTCTGTTCGGTGCTGTGGGTGTTGTTTGTGCTGTGCTGTGCTGCACGAGAGAGAACATCACTGCGCCTGCCAAGTAATCGAGGTTAAATGTATGCCCTCGTGAAGACTATTATCATTGGATACGGTGATGGTGGTGGAGAGCAGCTCATCTCGCTTGAACGGCCGAATGCTGCCTCTCGAGATGACACGAGAGAGAGGTGCAATTTGTTGGTATCAACACACATCACAGGTCAACACGAGGTACGTTCTCGTAGGCTGTGCCAATTTCTCAAACAAGCTCTCAAGCTCTGCTGCTCCGCTCCCAACTAGTAGCGATGCTAAGAAAAGCACAAGACACTCAAGACTGCTTGTCTGGTCAAGACTACTACTAGTAAGTACTTGCGACAAGAGATCGACGATACGAAAGGGAAAGACTTGGTGGCCCCGGACATGCCTGCAAGTGCGTCTGATACTGTAGGGGACGACATACTTGTATGCCCGTGGCGGGGCTGGCAGGGCGAATAACAATACTGTAATGAATGGCCTGAGAGGCAGAGAGGCTGCGCTTGGGGGGAAGACCCCTGAAGAGTTCCCCTGAAAATCCGCGATGCTGCTCTCCAGTGCCTCCACTCAGTGGATTGTTGATCCACTATTTGCCCGCCGGGCCGCCGTTCAGCCTGCGAGCCTGCCCACCCTCGCACCCTCCACCTCAGAGTTCCAGAGGCAGAACCCACCCACCCCTGTAGCCTCCCTCTCCCTCGCCTCCCTCGCCTCCACACATTCTCGGCCATCCCTACCACCACCGCTCCTGTACAGTACAGTACAGTACAGTACAGTACAGTACAGTACAGTACAGTACAGTACAGTACAGTACAGTACAGTACCTACGGAGCACACTAACTTAATAAGGTACCCAACCTGCCAACCCTTCCCGGGCTGGCCTCCTTGATTCGAATTCCTGTTTTCTCCTCCTCCTCCTCAATAACAATTCCATCTTTTGACAACTCACCAACTTTCATCGCCAGCTTCTCCTTCGACCGTTCCAGGGCATCATTCGTTGTACGCCCTTTTTACTGCCCTTTATTTCGGCGCAGCGCCCCTTCTCTGATCAGTCTCTCACTCTCTTGAGCCGGTCAACACTCGTTCCATACATCCAATTCTTCGCCCATTCCCGCGTCAACGAAACCATTCTCTGGAAAAACATCCACCTTTCAACCACGACATCAGACAACATCATGAAGACTTTCTCCGTTGCTGTAGCATTAGCTGCTGCTTCTGTCGTTTCTGCACTCCCTTCTCCTAGTGAGGAGCTGGTTGCACGCGCTACCAGTCTCCCATCAATTACCGTCAAGGGAAATGGTACGACCTTCCAAATTGTAGACTGGGACAAAATTAACATCATCTAGCTTTCTTCAATGGAAACAGCAGATTCTACATGCGTGGTCTAGACTATCAGCCTGGAGGATCCTCTAAATTGGTTGACCCCATCGCAGACCCAGCTACCTGCAAGCGTGATATCGCACAATTCCAGAAGTTGGGCATCAACACTATCCGTATCTACACCGTCGACAACACAGCCAACCACGATGACTGCATGGCCCAATTGGCCACTGCAGGTATCTACTTGGTCCTCGATGTCAACACTCCTCTCTACTCCCTCAACAGAGCCGACCCCCACCCATCCTACAACTCCGTCTACCTCCAGAACATCTTCGCCACGATCGATGCGTTTGCGAAATACACAAACACTCTGGCTTTCTTCTCTGGAAACGAGGTTATCAACGATGATCTTACCACCCCAGCTGCGCCATACGTCAAGGCCGTCACTCGTGACATGAGACAATACATCCGCAGCCGTGGATACCGTACCATCCCCGTCGGATACTCCGCTGCTGATGTCAACTCCAACCGCAAGGAGATGGCCGAGTACATGAACTGCGGTACCGATGATGAGCGCAGTGATTTCTTCGCCTTCAACGATTACTCCTGGTGTGACCCATCTTCCTTCACCACCTCTGGCTGGGACCAGAAGGTCAAGAACTTCACCGGATATGGACTCCCTATCTTGTAAGGCTTCTCCTACCCTTTTTTTCTACCACAACTAAAGCTAACCAACCTCCTAGCCTGTCCGAGTACGGCTGCAACATCAACACCCGCAAGTGGGAAGAAGTCAAGTCCCTCTACAGCACTGACATGACCTCCGTCTACTCAGGCGGTCTCGTCTACGAATACTCCCAAGAAGAGTCCAAATACGGCCTCGTCACCCTCTCCGGCAGCACCGTCACCCCCCTCGCGGACTTCACCGCCCTCCAAGCCGCCTTCAAATCAACCGCCAACCCCAGCGGCGACGGCGGCTACAACTCCACCGCCGGCGCCTCCGGCTGCCCCGCCAAGTCCGCAAACTGGGACGTCGACTCCGATGCCCTCCCTGCTATCCCATCCGCTGCGGCGGCTATGATGAAGTCTGGTGCTGGGAAGGGCGCGGGCCTCACTGGCGAGGGATCCCAGAATGCGGGGGGGACTTCCTCCGGAACTGCGACTCAAGGATCCGGTGCTGTGTCTCAGACTGGGGGAGCGTCGAAGCCAACTAAGAGCTCGGGAGCTAGCTCTGTTCGTGCGCCGTTTGATGCGAAGCCTTTGTATGTTAGTGTTGTTGCTTTGGGATTTACTTTCCTTGGGGCTGTCATGCTATAAGAATTAGATAGTTGAGTTTTTCGACTTGGGAGGTGAGGGTGTGGATAAGAATGGGGATGAGAATGGCAATTAGAGCTGTGTACTGTACATAGGCGCGTTTTTTGTTAGGTAATTCTATTGGATATCATGGCATTGCATTAGATTGCATTGTGCTAAACCTGATTTGCTTGAATTGAAAGACCATATACTTTTGTTCAGCTCTATGTTAGAGACAGAAAATATGGTTCTGTTGTTGACGTGTTGTTAACTATCGTAAGCGATCGATCGATCGATCGTCAGAAATTAGGCAAGCTGGGCGTTGCCAATTCCTTGGGCTTGACTTGGGCTTTCCTTGGGTCTATTGCTTAATTCTTTGGTTACACTTGGCTGCTTGGCCCTGGAACTTGAAAACTAATTCACGATTCTCTTCAGAAATTGAAGATCTGGAAGATGTTTTGTTTCTTTGGCGGTTGTTCTTTGTTCTTTTTGTCCTTTCGGATTCTTGGAGACTGATATCGATTGATGTGATGGGATGGGATCGATTGATGGGTGGGCGGGTATTGGCTTTACGCGGAGCGGCAGAGGTAGGTAGAGGTGCTAGTGGAAGTGCGCTGCGCTGGTTGGTGTTGTGTGGTGTTGTGTTGTGTTGTTTTGTATTGTATCGGATGGGATTATCGACAGTCAGAATTCTATAGAATTGAAATTATCTGATCTGATCTCCCTTGGCCTTGACCTTGCCCTTCCCCGCCATCTCCTCGCCCACTGTCTCCTCTCCCTCCATTTCCTCCCAGCCTCTTTCTAGCCCATCAATCAACCCGTTAATCAACCCGTTAATCAACCCCTCAATCCTCACTACCTTTCTCAACCTGCACTACTCAATATCCAAACTCCCCTTGGCCTGTCCTTCCATACATGTACACTCACTCCGATCTCTTGTTCTACGCCTCCCCTCGACGTTGTCGTACGCTAGTAACTTTGGATTAATAAATATTTTATCTGCTTTGGCTATCGTCGAGTTGATGAAATTGAATCTGATCAGATCAATCAAAAATTTGGGATGTAATAAAGAGATAGAAATGGAAGTGAAAATTGTTATCGTACTTTTCCTTGGTTTTGGGTGTTGGTTTTGTTCGTGCTTGAGTTGGCATGTGTGGTGTTTATATCCTCAGCTCTTGTTTCGCTTCTCGCTTCCCTTAGATGGGTGGGTTGTTTTTTGGGTTGAGTCGGTTGTTGGTTGCTTGCTGGTTGCTTGCTGGTTGCTTGCTGGTTGCTTGCTTGCCTGGGGTTGAATATAGACGTGTGCGTGCAGTGTGACGGCACAACGAAGATTGATAGGTAGCTAGCATATTCGCATTCATGAACCCCTCTCATCTCGCTGAAAGGCACGCCGACCGGATGCGGTATCTCAATTCTCGCCAAAGGTCAACAAAGAGCCGCCTCTAAACACATTGAAAATGGCATCTGCCCTCATTCATGAATATAGGAATATCTTATAGCGAGAGTATAGTATTACGATACCAATTCTTATAATATTTCGATCCAGAATACTAAATCAAACCTGGCTAGTTTTTACCCACCAATCTGCGAGAATGGAGAAGGATAGTCAAGCTGAGGATACTCGAAAAGATGAGATTGATAACAATGGAGACTATACAACCCATGATGCTGTAGGAGATCTCACGTACTCTGAAGCTGAAGACATGGACATCGACACCACCTTACCCTCCAGCGAGTTCAGGCTACCTGCAGGTCTACCACCAACTTTCCCTACCCAACCAAACTGAGCAACACAAAATTCCCAAGATTATCTCTGTAAACACAATGGACGAGACACCCTAAACAGTCCTCATGAAGAGCCGTTGATGAGTAACCTTCGTTTGAACAGCACTATCCCAGACATTATCACCACAGCAGCGTCTTTACCTTATCCAACAGCCATAGCTAGGATAAAAGACTTAGGGATACGAGATGAAGACCAGGAATGGAATAGGAGAGAGAAAGTTATTCCGCCGTACTTGAAAGCTGCGTATAGAAAGTACCCGAGTCCCTTAGCTCCCACTTTGCACCCAGAGAAAAAGTTTCAGGGTAAGGAGGAGTGGGAAGAAGATGATATCATGCAGAATTTGGAGATTGGAGAGGTTTTGAACCTGACTGAGAGGACCGAAAGGGGCACAGGATATCTTGGTTCGGACCAAACAGTACATGATCTCGACGCCTTTCTTGGTTGCGCTTCCAACAAGTCTCCTTTCGACGAGTATATCTCTCCTCAAGATCCTCTCATTATTCGCATGGCTAGTGTATCTAATCATGGCCATGATCCAGATTCAGGCCTTTGTTTACCTGGTAACGACAATGACGACGACGAGGGACATGATTCCATATCTGGCATTAGTGGAGAGGCTTCTACTACACCTACTACGACTAAGAATAAGAGAACTCGAAAGAGAAAGGGGAAGGGTGCTGGATCTGGAGATATGATGCCGAGCCAGCTACCTGCTGGTACGCCGTCTGCGGCTGTAAGAGGGAAAAACATGGAAAAGAAAGTAGCCCTATATATACCAACAGCGGCTTCCAGTCGGGAGAACGAGCAACATCTAAGTGCGGATGAGCTGCCTACGCCCACGAGACCTTTGATTCAGGGACCGGAATCAAGTTCAAACGAGCTGTCTGAGCACTCGAAACTTTCAGCCCCACCAGTGAGTATAGATGTAGAAGCTGCTCCCAGTGAGTTGGCACCCTCTGCACCCACAACATCTACAGCTTCATTTCAAGCAGCAGGAAGAGACGTTCCAACTACACCACTGACCCCGGCAGAACCAGCTGAGCACCAGACTCGGGATCTAAAGGCCGCCAATGAACCTTCCAAAGCAGCACATTCAGAGCCAGCAGTGGGAACGTCCACTCGCTCAGCACCCATATCTACGCCTACACCTTCAACCAACCCCAGAACACCGCCTCTCCCCTTTCTACCACCACCCCTGACCACGCCCTTATTCCAAGTAACCGCATTCCCACCCTCTTCATCCCCACCCTCTTATTCATCAACATCCTCAACCCCCTTCCAATCAATGCCCAAACCACCTTTCATACGTACACCACCCATCCCATCCCACCCAGCTCTCAAATCTCCCTTCGGAGCAGCCGTACCAAAAGAGAAGCAATTACCACCTATACAGGAAGGGAGCAAAGCGCCAACTATGATTAGCCATGCGCAGGGTATGGAACTCCCGAGGAGGATGTATGATGGGGAAAGGCTGTTAAGGGAGAGGGCTGATTTAGAGAGTTTACTGCGAAGAGGGGGTGGGAACCGAGATCTAGTTGCATCTGGTGACAGTAGGGATGTCGGTGAGGGCTCTGGGAGAGGGCATACTGCTGGGTATAATTATGGTGTAGGTTTTGGAGCTGGATTGGAGGTGCCGAGTTGGGGTGTAGTTGGCGGTGGGAGTCGTGATAAAGTGGATGTTGCAGTGCAAGGGGAAGGGGAACGGAGAGGCGGAGGAGAAGAAAATGTCGAACGTTAGGGAAGCTGGAGTGTCGGCGACTATACCGCTCAGGGTGACGTTAGTAGCGTTGATGCATCTGCGATGCCGGATGTGCCTCACGGCGCTGGGGTAGGTGCTGCTGAGGTCTTGGTGTACTGAGTTCAACGGGAAATGTTACACCGACAGAAGATGTGAATGTTAACATTGAGTTCTGTTATGTCCTTCTCTCTCTGTCAACATGCTTCTTGTTGGACGGAAGTGATTGGTGTCTCAAGCTAGAAGGTTACTGTAGCTGCAGTGCTGTGTCTCGCTTACTTTGTTGTGATAAGAGTTGAGCCCCTGAGTTGAGCGAAGCAAACGAGAACTGTAGTCAAGTCTCGCTCATGCTTTGTTTGGCAGGGAAGACTTTTCAACTTCACCAGACATCCTCTCATCTTCTAATACTAAACAGGCCCCTCTCCCAGCAGAAGTCGACACCTTCTTCACACGCATCGCTACCCACCTAGGTGGCACCACTTCTGACACTAGCCCCGACCTAATAATTAAAGACGCCTTGTCGGCTATCCAAGCCGCTCTCTCCTCCTCTAGTACCAAACAAATTCCTGTCCCAGCAGAAGTCTTTAGCTTCTTCCACCGCGTCGCTATCCTCCTATTGAACACCACAGATACCAGTATCGACCGCACAATTCAACTCGCTATATCCGCTATCCAGGCTGCCCTCTCATCTTCTAACACCAAAAAAACCCTTTATTACCAGAAGTCTTCACCTTCTTACACCACGTAGCTACCCATCGATCCGGCACCACGGAATCCAGCGTCGACTCTATAATTCAACTCGCTCTTTCTGCCACGTTCGCCGCCCTTGCGTACACAGAGTCCCTAGCCCATCAAACCACCGAAGAAATCCTCCGTTTACAAGCCCTTGTGAATGAGCTAAAACGAAGTAACAATTCTGTTGTCAAAGAGCTAGGGATAGTGAAAAGCGAACTGGAAGCAAAAGAGCTGGAAGCGTTGGAAGAGAAGAAAAAGACAGAAGAAGAGAGGAATAGTCAAAAGAAAGCATTAGAAAGTGAGAAAAAGAGAGGCAGGGACTTGAAATCACAGGTTGATGAATCAAAGCGCGACTTGGCCGAGTGTCGAGATTATCAGACAGCAGCTAGGTTCGAAAAAGAAGCAGAGTTCAATGCGCTCGTCCTCAAACTGTCTCAAACAGAAATCGCAGTCCAAGACTTGAAAGCTGAGTACGATAAGAGTAATATCATCACGCGGGCCGACTGCCAGAAGTTGAGCGAGGAGAAGGATCGTGTCAATAAGGAGAGGATGGAAGATTTGCAGGCTGATATCAAGGTCTTGGAATCTAAGCTGGAGAAGACTGAGAAATCGGGTATAAAGGCAGCTGTAGTTAGTCAACAGAGGGAAGAGAAACTTAAACAGTTTGAAGAGAAGGTGACTGAGCTGCAACATGCATTTGAGACGGTACAAGCTGATGGGGCGGCAAAAGGACTGATTACTCAGGAGGAATGTTCGGCGCAAAACAATTCGGCAATTGAGAAGCTAGAGGGAGAGATTCGGAGATTGAAGAGCGAAGCAAAGAACTATGCTGAAGCAAGTGAAAAGGCATGGAAGTATGCCGCCGACGAGGAGACGAAGCGGAAAGAGATACAAGGACAGCTTCAAGCTCTCAAAGCCGAGAAGGACCTCCTTGCCGAGAAAGCGGAATCATTGACTCGAGAGGCGGCGAGCAAGAATTTGAGGAAAGAGGTCGAAAATCTCAAGGAAGAAGTCGAGAATGTTAATCATGATCCGAAGCAGACCGCGGAGTTGAAAGAAGCTGCACAAGAGACAACAGCTGTGGACTCGAATAGCATCTCGGTCGAGGACTGTGAGAGCCAAAAAACGGTCTTTGGCGAGACGCTCGAGATTGAAAAGCATGCACTGCAATCAGAGATCGCAGACCTTAAGGTCAAGCCCAATGCTTACGAAGACGCCGATACGATATCTCGCAGAAACTATAACGAGGAGAAGTCTCGAGAGAGTAGTGAAGTGCGCCACCAAATTGAACCTCTCCAGACGCATAACCAAGAAGCAGAAAATCATGGCAGGGCTCTTGAAGATCGCATCCAGCAGTGTGAAGAAACGAACAGAGATCTTCGCGACAAGATCAAATCCCTCCAGTCTGAGCTCCAAGCATATCACGAATCCAGAAGACGCCCAGCTACACCTCCAACAGCCACGCTCAAAGAACGCATTGCCGCACTCGACGCTCGCGTGACCGAAGTCAACAAGGTAGTCGAGTCCCAAGCAGCTGAATTGAGCAAACGTGGGATCTCGAGTAACGTCCAACAGATGCGGCATCTTGATTTAAAGAACGGGCGATTGATCGAGGAAGTGGCGAGACTGGAAGACGCTCTTCAAAAGGCGAGAAACAGGAAGGTGGCTAGTCCGTATACGAGTTTTGACGAGAAGGATGCGAAGATTGAGGAGCTCACGCGTGGTGTGGGGTATCTGAATGAGAGTGTAGATTACCACTTCCGACAGGCGAATCTTATTAATATTCAGTATGGGAGACTTCTTGGGAAGAAGACTAAGTTAGAGGAGAGGTTGAAAAAGATGGAAGAGAAGGTGGAGAACATGAAGAAGGGTAGTAGTAAGAGAGCGAGGAAGGATAGAGCGAAGAAGGGGATCGAAATCAATATGCCTGCTCAAGCAGCTGCTAGACAGGCTGGAAACATTTCCTCCCCAACCACTGTGGAAAGGTAAAGAGCATGTTGGATTCGTTGCTTTTCTATGAAGGGGAGACCTCTAGTTATATAGTACTAGAACAGTGCACGGTTGCAATTCTAACACTCCCACACGAACACAGCACTGTTGCTTGCGGACTAACAAATACTTTATATTCTGAATCAGACGAACATCGAACAAAGAGGTTCGAAGGGGACCCTCTGCTAAGTAGGCTCGCCAAGGCTCGCTGAAGGCGGCCCGACCTGAGCGCTAAGCCACATTGGGAGTAGTCCAGCGGCATACCTAGTTGCCACCAAGAGATTACATGTCACTTCTTGACTTCAGACGATATTTTGATAATAGAAACTGAGAGCATGACCGTTTGTCTGATGAAGGATGCCGACTCTTCTTATATTTCGTGGTAAGTAGTTCAGTCTCTGATATCTTTATTCTATAACAAGTCTTGAGGATGAAATCCCCAGTCGACGGAAACGACTACGGTCCGAATAAAGTGCAACTCGGGTTGAGAAATAAGCTTAGATTTTGCTTGATGCATTATCTTAAATCCAATGCATCTTAAATCCATCCTGGATGTTTGAAGGCTCTCCGAAAGTTGATGCGTCTTGTAAACAAAATGCCCGATCTGGTTCGATCCAACACGAGCCCAGGTGGCTGCTTCGCGAGGCTGAGCAATGACATCACAGCGACTCAAGGCGCATCAAGCAAGGCAGATGATCCCAGTGACAGCTACTGTACAGCTACAGTTAGAGTACAGCTCTATTTCCTGCAACTATCCAACCTTAAGACACACTTTCTAGTATCATTTTCTAGAATGCCTCGAATAACGGACTAAACCTATCTAATGAACAGCGATTCTTCCCTCAACCTCCTTACCTAATAATCGAAATGCGGCCCCGTATCCTACCAACCGCAATCTCCACATCAACATCTAGAACTCTCTTGCGATTCCACTTCCAACCACACATCACAAGCACTTTTCGCAGCAGACCTCTCGAACGATCACAACCACGACTATATTCTAGTCCACCTGCCTCTCTTCCTTCCCTCTCAATCCGCACGTTCTCCACTTCCCGTCGACACTACTCTGAAGAAGACGCGACCAGCAAAGCCAAAGCTCTGAACCAGAAAGGACTAGACGAGCAAGAAGATGGCTTCCATAGACAGATTGACGATGCTATTGGCAAGGCGAAAGAATTACAGGCTCGGACACCCTGGCATAGAGAGGGAAGCGATACGCCGCCTGTGAAGAGGAATAGGAGTGCCGGGGCAATGACAAAGGGTATTTTCTACTTCTCTCCCACTTCCCTCCCCTTTTTGCCACAAGTGTTATCCTGAGATATCATGATCTATTTACTAACAAACCTCCTCTCCAGGAAAACTCCTAACCACCCCCTCCCGCCTCCTCAAGCTCATCCTCCCCCTCACAACGCAAGACAAAAACAGCGACCGCAAATCCATCGAGCCTCTAGCCCTGCTAGTTCATCCACAACAACCCCTCTCCTACCTAGAACGCCTCATCCAATCCGAACTCCCTATGATCAAAGGCAAAGACGGCAAAGAGAAAGTAGCACAGGTGTATTTCCGGGCAGAGGACAGTGCAAGGGGAGAGATCAAAGCGGATCCTAGCGAAGAGGAGGAGGATGAGGACCTAGAGGACGACGAGGATGGTGATCTCAAGGGCAGGAAACAGCCCAAGGAAGAAGGAAGTGATGAACAGATGATAGACGGGAAGCTCATGAAAGTGGGCAAAATATCCTCCTCGTCATCCTCCAGAAGCCAATCCGAATCCGAATCCGAACCCCAATCTCAATCCCCAGATAAAAACACTCTCTCAGAACCCAAAAAATCCCCCTCCGAAATAGAAAATCAACTCCGCGGCGGCCCCGGTGAAGGCGGCGTAGAAAGCTACAGCGGCCAAGGTCGCGAATCCTCTGACAGCTCGCAGCAAAAATTCGTGCGGTGGTCCTCATCCACCGAAATCGGTGACTTTATCCGCGACGCCGCACGCGGCAAGGAATTCGCGGTGGAGATCGAAGGCGCCAGTAGCGAGATCCGGGTGGGTGTTCCTTCGTTCAACGATCGCACACATTACCTGCGAGTGCGGTTGAGGAAGACGAGCAGGAAGTTGGCGGATATGGCGAGTATCAAGAAGGAGTGTGATAAGCTTGCGCATAGGAGCGCGCAGAGGCTTGCTATGGGCGGGTTTGGGATATTGGTTGGGTGGTGGGGGGCGATTTATCATTTTACGTTTCGGACGGATTATGGGTGGGATACCATGGAGCCTGTGACTGTACGTTCTTTTATTTCTCTCTTCTCATACCTCGCACCCCTTTCCTCCTTACACCACACCACACCACACCAAACCACCTAGCCCTTCCCCAATCCCTAGTACACCAAGCCAACCCATCTAACACCCCACAGTACCTCGCCGGCCTCTCCACCATAATCCTCGGCTACCTCTGGTTCCTGTACCACAACCGCGAAGTATCATACCGGGCCGCCCTGAATCTAACCGTCTCCCGGCGTCAAAACACACTCTACACCGCTCGAGGGTTCGAACTTGCGAAATGGGAAGCCATGATCGAAGAAGCGAACGCGTTGAGGAAAGAAATCAAGAATGTAGCTGACGAGTACGATGTCGAATGGGATGAAAAGAAGGACGAGGCGAGCGAGGAGGTGCATGATGCGTTGAAGGAGGAGAGGAGGAAGGCTGGGGGGAAGGAGGAGGATGGTGAGGATGGGGATGATGGGGATAGTGGGAAGAGGACGAAGAAGGAGAAGGAAAGGATGAAGGAAAGGAGTAAGGAGAAGGAGAAGAGTAAGGGGGGCGAGAAGGATTGATTGATTGATGGAGTGATTGATTGAAGGTGTGGCGGATTGGAGTAATGGATGAGATGGAGATGAAGATAAACCTGAAGTTGAGCTAAGCTGAGCTGAGCTGAGCTGGTTGAACCGAGCAGAGCAGAACCGAGCTGAGAAGAGCAATGCTCAAGGGTTTGTTTTGGAAACCCGAGCCTAGCGAGCCGAGCCGAAGCGGAAACGCAAATAAGCTCATTCACTCTATCCATCCATCCATCCCCAGAATCACAATCACAATCAGAATCAGAATCAGATCAGAATCACTGTCCTTTAAAAAGTCTCTTCACAAACCAACCAGCCAGACATATTCTATTCAACTCATCTCATCCTATCTCATCTTATCTCGGTCATAACTCTCCTCCACCTCATCATCGTGGCACGCGAGTTCATTTTACACCCGATTTCTTCGATGGGCTGCTTGCGCGCTTTTATTGTCCAGCAATCCAATCAATTCAAATCAATCAATCAATCAGAGCGGACTTCACACCAGTGGTAAAATTGTGGTACACAAGGTCGAACCAGCACCAACCAAAACCGAATAAGCATCGGACAATGTCGCCACCTCTCTGTAATAGGTCGGTGAGGGGGAGGGCAGGCAGGCACGCATTCAGGCATCCACCACTGGTGGTCGACCGGTTGGGTCCACCATGCACATACCTCCACCACTTCCAGTTCAATTCCCATTTTCTCGTCGATGACGGAGCCATATTTGATATTTCGATCTCCCCAAAAAAATTCCAATCCTTTTCCTTCTTTTCTCGTTGTCACATTTACCCTCACATTCATCGACCGAATGATCGACGGACCAACATCCTGTCCTGTGTTGTTCAGTCAAGCCTGTCCTGTCCAGCTTCATTGCATTGCATTTGCACAGCATAGCCTGCGAGACGTTCAGCTCCCTACACATACACATCATAAGTACATATACCAGCATACATAGACCATAGAACAACCGAATCAGAGTACATACCAGTTTTTAGAGAATAATACATACAGTCATCATTCCCGGTGCGGTCCACCTCTCTTCCCATCTCTCTCGCGGTTCCCCACATTCCAAGCTCTCCGAAGTTATTTTTTTGCTCGAACCTGTCTGTTTGTCAGATATGATAGGACATGCAGATAATCATGTACGCAGAGTACAGCAAAAGCCCTCCCTTCTTCTGCTTGGGCAGCTTCAGCGCTTCCAGCCCCGGGGCATTACCTCCGACCCAGGTGATAACCGAGACATGAGGATAAACAGGTTTCCTGTGTACGCTGGTACGCATCGAGTCCAGTCCCTTCTCCGTGCACACCGATCACACCGATCACACCGACCGCCAGACTGACGCACCTGTTCTCATTCGTCTTCTCTTGCCTTAAAATCTCAACCTTTCCCATCCCTCTGCTCCCGCCTCTGCCCTCTCACAAGAGACTGTGAGACACTCAAATCCATATTTCAACCCGTTTATGCACCGCCAGCACATTGAGCCGGGAGGCAGGCAAAGCATAGGCATCACGGAGCATACCTCCAGCACCCCAGACAGACATGTTTTCATTTCCAACCTGCATGCCCGCATGCCGGCCTACCCCCACGGTCACCCGCGGGAGGATGGTGCAGGAAAATATCGATATTTCAGATCTCCAGCCCGCAGCTCAGCGTAGCCTCATCCATCCTATCGTGCGGCAACACCAGACCTGATCAGATCGTGGATGATCCCTTGACGACCGCCGCCGTATGAAGAAGGATGAGGGGAGTCTAGACTGCGATGGTTTCATCCGGAGGTCTTCCTCTCGTGGATGGGATGCGATGCAGCAATACCTGGTGTGCGTTAATGGTCTCATGTCATCTGACGATGTAGTGTGTGAAACGTCACTGTCATCGCCGGAGATCGAGAGTTGGGGGTGGGGAGCTGATTGTGGCAAGTCAGGGTTGAGTCGTCTGCAGGCTGCGGCGATAGTGAGCAGTGTTGGAGATGGGCGGTGTTGGGATTGAGATTTTGAACGGAATATATATCACCCTCAGAACATCATTCTCTTGCCATCGACGGCTTTTATCTTCAATTCGGCGTCTTCTGGTATCGATGAAGGTATCGAATGAGGAATTTACCTGATTTAGGTAGCCGAGGCTGAGTCTTGACAGACATCCATACTTAGGCCGCAGTGAGTTATCTGACAGTCATGACAGATGTGCGGTACCATGACTCATTCGTATCCAGATGATTGAAGCCTTGTCAGCGCTGTGGAGCTGTGGATGCGATAGTGGTTATGTTGCCTGCTTGTTAATCACCAGCGAGCTTTGTTGACGACGCTAAAGAAGCGAGGAGAGTGGGGCGCCGACTAGCCATTCTGCGGTGATGGAGAAGCAACGAAGTCGACGAGAACATCGCAGTGATGGTATCCAGCGATGGATATTGTATAGACCTTCATCAAATATTGTCCTAGAAATGTGGACTGAGATACCAAAGCCGGGTCAGATATGTCAGTTTGGCGAGCGATTGACGGGGTACTGTGTCGTGGCAAGCTACACCACGCAGTTGGCTTGAAATCCGTGCCATGACTCGGGGAACCCTTCGCAAATTCCGAGAGAAACATGACGTCGGCCCATTTTTTGATATTTTCTGGTCTTTGTGTGCCTTCTCAAGGTAGTGCAAATCAGGAGAGAGATGAGAGCTGAGCGTCCCCGGCGGTGTCGACATTATCATGTCAACGAGGAGGGTCTGGACTGAGCTACAAATGATAACTGGCATTGTCGTTTTTCCGTGTGTTGGATGAACCACAATGGTCCAGAACAAGTTTTTCTATTCAGTCATAACGGCATGACCGGGGAGACGATAAATGTGCCGCATTCATTCGGTAGAGGGTTAACAGGCCACAATCTAGGAATTCCTGGCTCTGGGCAGGCTGTCGGACGTGGTGGAAGCTCAGAGAAATCTATTCAGACGCGTGCTTTGTACATCGGCTGAGAAAATGATGATTTGGCGTTGGGGATCTGTTTGTCCTCGTCGACGACCCTTGGAATCTCCACTGTTATTTGGTCGTTGATAGCTCGGCATGAACTCGAAACAAGGTCTGACAGGATTTCTCCGCCTCATTGAAGCCAGGTTGAATTCGTATGTGATGATTATTTTGGAAACCATTTCTTGGGATGATATATGCTGATATTGTTGAAGGAGCACTGATGGTACAATGTCGTCAGCCAACGCGAACTCAATTGGTTTCCACTCCAGTAATCACCTGGACAAGTCGTGCTCCTCTCCAATGAAGCATAGATCAATGCCTGAACCTTCATCTCAACGTCGATATCCTGAAGCACAAATAGATGAAAGAACCAACCTTTTATCTGTCGTTTATCGCCGCAGTTGTCACCGAACCACTGGTCCGGGTCTCACATCCGGCCGTCGCCACTTGAGCAAAAATCGCCACTTGCGCGAACTATGCCTGTGTAGGAGAAGGCGCGCTTAGTTTGCCATGTTTGCACGACTTCAACGAGACGACATCTCATGGCAATCAATATACGACGTCTTTATCGTTTGAGCCGCGATCAGAACGTCTGCATGGCTGTGTCGCCCTGAGCGGCCTCAACATTTGAAGCAGTGAAGTCGCTTCAAAGGAAGATTTGGCTGATCAGCGAGCATATCTCCGCCCGCGGAGAAAGAAAAGAGAGGATTGAATGAAAGTAGACGACGGCATCATAACTCAGGAAGGTTGCAAAGTCCGGTATGCCGTCTGCCGTAAAATGAAGTGTCCCATGGCCGATCGCTGACTGAGTAAAGCAGATGACAATGTGAATGGATGAAAGGGTGGGCAGGCCGAGACTGAGACTGCTCGTTCTCTAATTCCTGCCGCTAGGACTTTCTCCCCGAGCCAATCACTAATTAGAAGTAGACAGACAGCACAGCGCAACGTCCCTTGGCGTTACATTCTGCGGGAAGCCTACCGGGACCCTTGATCATCGGTACCTCATCCTCCCCTCTTCATGGTTCCATGGTTCCTTCACCCCCACCACACCCACCGCTAATTTTGCGTTCCACACCATGTCACTGCACAAACGACGACAAATGGGTTTCATCACTCACACCAGGGAAGTAAAAAGGCGAGCGGTTGTCATAAACGCTTTTCTCTCTTCCGGAATCGTTTGGCATTATCCTCGACTGACCATCCGTTTCGTCCGCCTCCGAATAAATGCCTCCCAATACAATATATCAACGAGAAAATAACTCCATGAAACGATTCTTCCATATGGGAGCTCACCCTAGCTGACCTAAGAGAGCATATCTCATGCGGTGCAAGCACCGAACTCGGCTTGTACATCACATTTTGTTCCCTTCCTCGCTATATTGTGACCAAGTTGTCAAGCTGCTCGACATAATCAAACATCTCTAACCGGATCGTAGTATGTCCCCGACTGGTTGACGTTGTCCGAGGGTTCATATTCATATCCGTCACCTTCGTAAGTTGTGCCTAAAGAGTTATCAGAGCGCTGCTACAGCAATGTGGCAGCCATAAACGAACCAGGGGGAGGATATGCTTGGCTGCTAGAACCTACGCACAGTCAGATTGGTTTCTTGTTTTCCTATACCCGCGTCATTATAGCCCCTGCACCAACGCGGGAAGACCAGAGTGACGGGATTTCCAAGTTTGTTGGTAACGCCGCCCACGGTATGAGAAGCCAACGGCAGATGAAGATCTAACACGCACCCATGTCTCCTGACTCTTGATAACCATAATTGTATTCGTCTTGTTGTTCTTTTGATGCATGTTTATGCTTTGAACTACTTCCGTGTTTGTCATGGTTCTTCTGACCACTTTTCTGAGCTCTGTTCCTTCCATCACGATAACGAAACTTGTGGTACAAAAACCACTTTGCAACCCAATTAGGGCTATTCCCCCAAGATTCTCCGAGGTTCCAATAGTAAGCTGTATATTGGTCACCTCGTTGGGCTATCATCTCAATGGCATCGTCCTTGGCTCTCTCTTGGATGTCAGACCAATCATATGGAGCTTTCTTCTTGCCATTCGGCTTCATATGAGACTTGTCGGAGACGAGCCAGTCGTAGACGACATCAGTCTCCTTCTGTTTAATTTTGGAGTATCGTAAGTACCTCGTCATAAATTAGAGTTCAGAGGTGGGGTCACCCACAGGGTGGGAAAGTGAATAGCGAGGAGGTACATACCGCCATCAATGCGTAGGTTTCGGGCCTGAGGTCCAATCGTTTAAGAAGATCTTCTTTGGTCTGGCTCATCGCCATGGAGGGTAGACCGGCCATTTCGCTCATGGAAAACGAGAAATCAGGCGATTGACTCCGGATAGCAGGACAATGCTCTGCGTGGGAGAATAGAAAGTTGACATATTAGGCCCGTTGCTACCAGCCAGTCTCTAGGCCATTTCGGAGTAGACCTGTGTCGAGGCACATTAGATGCAGGCTCGATCGAGGGCTGCAGCAGCTCCATACCTCCAAGGCTTGAATCAGCGCTGCCCTAAGCATGATGCAAGCGGCAGACAGGATTGGTGGCGTGATAAGATGGATGTGAAGCATGCTTCCAGCTGTCAATGCTTGGCTGCTTCTCAGGCAGAGCTGCTGATTTCGCAAGGATGTCAGGATCCGAGACCTGTATTACTGGGAAAGGAAGAGTTCACCCATGAGGCAAGAGGGGTTTTTGAACAACATGGTCGAGAATGATGGGGTGGAACAGTTGCCACCGAGTAGAATGATGGACCGTACTGGCGTATTCCCAAATGCTTTCCCAATCATAGATTCAGTGACTAGTACCATCCATGACATTGCTCTGAGCTGCAGTGTCATGGCTTGGAGACACCAATGAACGCAGAGGCAGGTGTGCCTTTTACAGTGTGTAGTGGCGTGTTGGGATGCTTCAAGCCTAGCGTTGTCATGATTTGCCTGGAAACAAGCGCACACAAACAGAATGCCTGTAACTCGTCGCACCAAAAGACCCTGCATAAAATGCGGGAAGGACATTCCTGTCACCTTGCAGACCAGCGTCTTCAGATATCGGTATCTGTTTGTAATGTCACTGTGTCTGGGGATCGGAGATCCTACTCAACAGGGAGAAAGATGCTTTGAGCTCTGCAGGTGTAGGTGATAGGAACGGCCACTTCGACCACTTGACGTTGCTGGCTGGCATTCTGGATAATCAAAGAATCGATTCAACTCAGGTTCAAGCAGAGTGACTCTCTTTTCTTCTTGCCATGAGACAGCCACTCCATGTTTAAGACGAGGATCGGAGTCAAAATGAAGCAGAAGGGTTGCTTTCCATCGTCGTAGGTAGGGTAACCTCAGGGTAAAGGAATCTGGGGGGAGGCAGGGCGTCTAGAAATTCGGGGATGAAACCGGTTCCGCAGAGAGAGTGTGGGTGGGCATCGCAATCGTGGAGTGCCAAATTCCTGACATGCATGCAGGTGCAGGGTTTACCGCCAAGTTCGTAGACTTTGTGCATTTACAGTAGTACATACAGTACAGTACGAGTATTGTCCGGTGGTGCTTTTGGCCCGGATCAACAGGATTAAGCCAGTAGCGAGTGCGAGGCTGAAAAGCTGTGGGCCGGGCCATCTTGCACAAGCATGGGGCTGTAAGTACTGGCCTGGTCCAGAGTACCCTTCTATCGTGTACTGTAGGGAGGAGCTTTATATAGTGTGAAAGTCTTGATTTATTAAGGTATTCTAGAGCTCCCCTATAAAGGGAAGCTCCAGGAGTTCTAGTTATATAAGTAGCCTCTAGTTAGCTAGAGCGCCTTAGGGAGTACTTTAAGTACGTTAAGTACATAATATACCCTCTCGCTTAGCTTTATAATAGTAAGCAAAGCGATATAAATAGTGCAGATAATACTACCTAAACTATAATAAGAGTTAATACTAACTAATAGCGTTAGGTCTTAAGCGCCTAGTGGCTCTAAATATATAAACTAGGTAAGTCCCCTTAAATGTTCTTTCCTTAAATAACAACTTTAACGTAATATTAGTAAATATAGCTAAAAGCTCCTATACTGCTTACGCCTTACGCGCCTCTAACCTTGCTACTATTCGCGTAGTAAAGAAAAAGACTATAAGTTGTTAATTTAAAGATTCTGACGTAGTTAGTGTTATAAGGAATAGTTAGAACTACGCTAATACTTGTAAAATAGGCCTGTGGCCTGTAAAGGTAGTGGTAACCACTTCTTTACTATACCCGATTAGGAAGAGTCTAGAGCTCGGCAAAGCTCGGTAAGACTCGGTAGAGCTCGGTTAACTCTGAAGGGGTTTACTATTAGTCCGCAGACCTTTACTATGGAGGTATAAGGGGAAATCAGGAGGTGTAGGTAATCCCGGTTAAGGGATAGATCCCTTTTAGATACGAACCGGGGGTTATTCGGAAAGTAGTATATATTCTAACCTATAGATACTCTTTATAATATATACTTTTAAATACCTTTAAATTAAACCTTAGATTTTAATATATATTAATATACACTTATTATTTATTTACTAGTATAATACTAATACTAATTAGTAGTTACCTTATACTATAGAATAGATAAGTTAAATATAATAGAGTTAACTCTTAGGATATAATATTAAATTAATATTAGTAGGCTCTTATTAAAACTAAGTAGAGTAAGCCTTGTAGAGTAACTAGAGAACTCTTATTAAAATTAAGTAAAGTAAGTTCTATACTACTAAAGAATAATAGCTACTCTCTAATAGTTATTAAGATATTTCCGGAGCTATTTAGTTAGATATTTCTAGGATATAAAAGATATATCTGAAATACTGTTACGAACGCACTCAGAAGGAGTATCACGTGTGTCTTGGCCCTGAGGCTCGGCAGCATTGCTGCACAGAGAAGCCAAGAACTAGGAACGAAATCACGGGACCATGTGTCACGTGATGGCATGGAGCTTTTGGAACCATAGGGTCCAAGGTTCCTGGAGCCTGGGATCATAGGACCCATAGGGATCCAAGGCTAACGAAGGTTCTATATAAGACTGGCACGTCTGCCATTAGATAGGAGCTTCGTGCTCAACTTCAAATAGTATTCTGATACTTAGTAACTGTCTTCCCGTCTACGTGATACACCTACCTCTCGATCATCAGAGATCAACTGCAGCCTTCTGTATTTACAGCGAGTAAATACCGGACAGTTACACTTTGAGCACCTTCTCGTCAGAGGTACCGACTCACGAAGACAACATGTCCTCCGTCAAAGGATCGTCGAACGACCACTCGGCTCCCGCCAAGGCCTTCGACCCAAAGAACATACCCAAGATCGCCGCCCCGGATCTCTACAACGGAGACCGATCCAAGCTCAGAGCATACCTCACGCAGGTTAAGCTCTATACGGGCTTCAACGGTCACCAGTTCGCCACGGAGACTGACAAAGTCCTTTGGGCTTCGTCCTTTCTCCGGGGATCTGCCTTCAACTGGATCGAGACCTTCCTCTCGGACTACATTCAGAACCGAACCAAGGATGGGAGAGTCTCCACGGCAATGACCAAGGAATCCCAGAAGATCTTTATGACCTTCGAAGGTTTCGAGCATAGGATCAACCGCGTCTTCGGCGACATTGATCAGAACCGTACCGCCGAACGGAACATCCAGAACCTAAAGCAGGTCGGGTCAGCGACCACGTATACTGCCGCCTTCCAGCAATTCGCGAATCAGACCAGCTGGAATGACGACGCCCTTCGGGCACAGTACTACAAAGGGTTGAAAGACGGAGTGAAAGATGAGATAGCAAGATCGGACGCGCCTACCGACTTGCAAGAACTCATCGAAATGGCTGTCAAGATTGACAACCGAAACTACGAGAGGGCACTCGAGAAGAAAGGCCAATACCGCTCCGGAACGCACATGCACCAAGGAAGAGGGGGCAATAACAAGAAACCATTCTACCCTCGGGAAATGGAACTCGATGCGACGTTCCGGAAGCCAAGTCATCAAGGAAAGCCGCGCAACGGCGGGCTATCTAAGAAAGTCATGAGCGAGCGACGAGAAAAGAAGCTGTGCTTCGAGTGTGGCCTCCCTGGTCACATGGCCAGCTCTCATCGACAAAAGAAGTCGTGGACAGACAAGAAACATGCCAACGCAATGGGACGTGGCTCTTACAATGAACCAACACGACAACTCGCCGCGACGTATCGACACATGACTACAGACGAGCTCGAGGAGAATCACATCCACACCCAGTTGGGCGATTCTGACGACAGCGAGCGAGATTCCGCGAGCGTCGTGGATCAGCTCGAGCAAACCGTCGTCAGCACGCCCCCTGAGGACTATGTGTATCGAGACAACGACAGCTCTGGGCCAGACGATGACACAGAGTTAATGCCAAGTGACAGCGAGGAAGAAGCCCAGGAGCCAGAGTGGACTCCAGAACCAGGGCCACCTCAACCTGAACTCTCAGGACCAGGAGTGGGTGAAACTTGGGAAGTTACCCAAAGAGAAGAGAGCCTGTATCAGGTTAGCTGTAACACTCGCCACTGGACCAATGTAGCCACCGGGGTTACTTATCAGGAACCAGGCCTTGTCGGCTTGGGGGGTCCACCGTGGGGGGCAAGGTACGAAGTAGTCTACCGGGACTATAAGCGTATCGGATGGAGAATGGCCGGCAGCTGGGAAGGACCGACGACCTTTATGCAGCACTTGCCACTCCAGAATACCGTCATTCTTAACACCAGCGCGCCACCAGGGGTGGGCGAGGAATGGGAAATCATGGCTGAGAACCGACATAATAGGACATGGGTCCACGTCAATGATGACGGCCGGTACTATTACGAGATGTACAACCCAGTAACATACACCGAACTCGGAATAGGGCTCGTATACAAGGTCAGCCTAAGCTATGGCAATCGAAGGGTATGGGAAAGTGTCCTCGACCATAGCGTACATTGGGAATATTTCTGTGTGCGGCAACTTGCCGCCATTGGGGATAAACATCTCACGTTGGAGGTTAAAATCAAGGGAGTCAAGCTTCAGGCGATGGTAGACTCTGGGGCACAAGGGAACTTCATGTCTCCTACTGTTGTGCTCGAGCACTACCTGTCAACCGAAGTAAAGGATAAGGGATACCACCTGGTACTGGCGGATGGCAAGGTCGCCTCCGATGGACTGATCGAGGTCCAGACCGCTCCAGTCCATATGGGCATCGCCGGACACTCCGAAATAATCCAATTCGACGTCGTCAGGATTGGAAGGCACGACATCATCCTGGGGTTGCCATGGATGGAAAAGCATAATCCTGTTGTCGATTGGCAGACAGGAAAACTTGAGTTTAGTCGTTGCCAAGACTGCTGTTATCCACCGGGAACAGAAGCAGTGAGCATTCGAGAGGTTAGCGCCACCTCCAAGGAAGAGCTCGGACACCAAGACAAGGGTCCACTGATGAAGGATATACCATCAGCATACAAGAAGTTTGCGGCACTGTTCAAAGAAGAACGAGGCATCGAGGCCTTGCCGAAACACCAGGACTACGATCATCGGATCGAGTTAGAACCAGGTACCAAACCGATATTCCAACCACTTAGGGAATATTCGGCGACAGACTTGATGACGATCAAGCAATACATCGATGAAAACCTAGCGAAGGGATTCATCCGAGAGTCCAAATCCCCATGGGGAAGTAACGTCTTATTCGCAGAGAAGAAAGACGGTGGACGACGAATGTGCATCGACTACCGTCGATTGAACGATGCCACAAAGAAGGATCGTTATGCACTACCATTGGCCAAGGAGCTGCGGGACAGACTCGTTGGAGCCAAGATCTTCACTCAGCTTGACCTAAGAGGAGCATACAACCTCGTTAGGATGGCTGAGGGTGAAGAAGAGAAAACAGCATTTCGCACCCGTTTCGGTCACTACGAGTACACGGTCATGCCCTTCGGCTTGACTAACGCACCAGCCACATTTCAGCGTCTGATCAACAATGTTTTGCGGCCTTACTTAGACGTAACGTGCATATGCTATTTGGACGACATACTGGTCTACTCCAAATCAGAGGAGCAACATGTGAAGGACGTCACAGCCATTCTCCAGAGGCTGGAGGACGCCTGCCTGTTACTCAAACCAGAGAAGTGCAACTTCCACGTGGACGAGGTTGTCTTTCTAGGCTATGTGGTCACCACCGCAGGATTGGCTATGGATCCCAAAAAGATCAAAGCAATCATCGAGTGGACGGGGCCCACGAATGTCAAGGAAGTACAATCATTCCTCGGGTTTGCCAACTTCTACAGGCGATTCATCAAGGACTACTCGAAAATCGCCGGGCCACTCACGGAGTTGACCCACAAGGACAAGGAATTCCACTGGTCCGACAGCGCACGAAAAGCGTTTGAGGCACTCAAAGCGGCTTTCATCGCGGAACCAGTACTCACTTCCTTCACCCCCGACAAAGAAATACGCATAGAGACAGATTCTTCGGACTACGCTATTGGAGCCGTGCTCAGCCAGCCGGGCGAGGACGGAAGATAGCAACCAGTCGCTTACCATTCGCGGAAACTATCACCAGCAGAACTCAACTACGACATATACGACAAAGAGTTGCTGGCAATTGTGGACGCAGTACGCGAATGGAAGGTCTACCTCGAGGGCGCCGCCCACGAAGTACAGATCCTAACGGACCACAAGAATCTCATTTACTTTACAACGACCAAAGAATTGAACCGACGCCAGGTTCGATGGTATGAAACACTCTCTACCGTTAAACTTCGAATTTCTTATGTCAAGGGAACGGAAAACGCCAGAGCCGACGCTCTGAGCAGGAAACCAGAATATCTCGCAAACAAAACTCACGAATCCCACACCGTACTGCGGAAGGATGGTGATTCGCTAATAGTCAATCACCGACAGCTGGCCTCAACGGGCCAGGTCGCCGAGAAAATCTGGAGGGGCTATGCCAACGACCCGGTCATAGCCGAACAGAAGAAGCAGCTGGGCGAAGGATTCTCCTTCACCTCAGACGGCACGCTTCTGTACCAAGGACGAATCTATATACCCACTGGGGACAGGATTAAATTCGTCACGCACTGGCATGGGCTGCCCGCTCATGGACACCAGGGGGTAGCTAAGACACTGTCTAGGCTATCCAGGGAATACTACTTCCCAGGTATGAGGAAGGTAGTCAAAGACGTGGTAGCGTCGTGCGACACATGCATCCGGAACAAGGCATCACACCATGCTCCGTATGGGCTCATGAAGTCACCAACAACACCACCTCGCCCATGGAAATCAATCGCTTTGGATTTCGTGGTCGAGCTACCACCCTCGAAAGACCCAGTCACAGGAATCGTATACAACTCGATCTGTGTAATAACGGATAGGTTCACAAAGTACGCGTACATGGTACCAGTACTTGGAACACAGGACGCGCCCATGATGGCGCAGGTATTCCTCAGAACAATCTTCGCAAGCCACGGAATACCAGATGAGGTCATCTCAGACAGAGACAAGCTCTTCACCTCGAAGTTCTGGAAAACTCTCATCGCGCTCTTAGGAATGAAGCAGAAAATGTCAACCGCATTCCATCCTCAGACCGATGCACAGACAGAACGAATCAACCAGATAATGGAAACTTATCTTCGGTGTTATGTGAACTACAAGCAGGACGACTGGGTGCAACTACTTCCACTCGCTCAGTTTGCATATAACAGCGCGGACCAAGAGACCATTGGAGTATCGCCGTTCTACGCGAATTATGGGCACAATCCCACGGCATACAACCCACCAATAGCCGGTCAGGGTACCGCGCAAGAAGCCATACTACAGGCAGATGAGCTTAAACAGCTCCATGAAGAATTGTCAGCCGATATTCTCTTCATCGCGCAGAGATCTGCGATCTACTACAACAGAAAGCGTAGCATGGGACCAACGCTCAAGGAGGGGGATAAAGTCTACTTACTCAGAAAGAATATCACAACCAAAAGACCAAGTCACAAATTGGATCACAAAAAGCTAGGACCGTTCAGGATTGCCAAAGTCAAGGGACCAGTCAATTATCAACTAGCTCTGCCAAAGACAATGAACATCCACCCAGTATTCCACATATCTCTCCTCGAACCAGCACCGCCAGGAGCACCGCCTGCTCCTGTCACCGAAATACAACCGGTCAATCCGAACGCCGAATACGAAGTAGAGGCTATCCTCGACTGTCAGAACTACCACGGCAAAACACGATATTTGATCAAGTGGAAGGGGTACCCACAGTCAGAAAACACCTGGGAACCCAAGTCTAACCTCCACTGCCCTGGGTTGCTGCGAAGTTTCCATCAACGAAACCCAGGTCTTCCCAGAAGGAGTTCCCAAAGTCAGGCAGCGGTTCATCAACCAGGTGGAACTCGGAGGAGTCGCCGGCGGGCGGCGGTGTAGGTGGCCGAGCGGCAGAAGCTTGCTTCTCCCTCTCCGCTGCTTCCCGCGCCTCCGCCTTCTCCACTCTTTCTTTTGCCTCAGCCTCGTCCAACTCATCCAGAGTTCTCAGACCACGACGAAGCATTTCCCTCCCTCGCTCGCGAAGCTCGGCTTGGCGCTGCTCGAGCTCGCGGACGCGAGCCAGGCCGGCCATGGCCGCCTCGAAGGCCATATCTCTCTCAAACTTCAGGCGATCTTCCTCCATACGAAGACTTTGGAGGTCGTCGATAGAAACCTGAAGAGCATCGCATTTCACGCCGCGACGGACACACTCCCCACACCTCTGGGACTTCTCATTCAGGACCACGCAATTGCGATGGTAGCGAATACAATTGGAACACGGCATGCTGGGCGAGCCGTAGGAGTTGATCGTTTCAGCAAGTGCTATCCTTTGTTTGTATTTGGTGGTTTTGGAGGACATGATGAAAGAAGAAGACGGCCATGGGTCGTCGTCGGTATTTCCTTTGGCATACTTAAGCGTGGGGACCACGCTAGGCAAGAAGGGGGATAGTGTTACGAACGCACTCAGAAGGAGTATCACGTGTGTCTTGGCCCTGAGGCTCGGCAGCATTGCTGCACAGAGAAGCCAAGAACTAGGAACGAAATCACGGGACCATGTGTCACGTGATGGCATGGAGCTTTTGGAACCATAGGGTCCAAGGTTCCTGGAGCCTGGGATCATAGGACCCATAGGGATCCAAGGCTAACGAAGGTTCTATATAAGACTGGCACGTCTGCCATTAGATAGGAGCTTCGTGCTCAACTTCAAATAGTATTCTGATACTTAGTAACTGTCTTCCCGTCTACGTGATACACCTACCTCTCGATCATCAGAGATCAACTGCAGCCTTCTGTATTTACAGCGAGTAAATACCGGACAGTTACAAATACCTATAAATTATCTCTGGTATAATAGTAACTCTAATAGACTAAGTTACGGAATAACTTAAAGTAGAAGTTAAAAGTAGCGGAACCTTAATATAAGATAGAACGCTAGCTCCTAGAGTACTTTTAGCTAGTCTTATAATAGCTAATATTAATAGTTTAATTCGAGGATTCGTAGATTATTTTATAAGGAAAAGTATTAGAGGAGAGATATTATTCTAGGACTTTTAGGAATATTTTCCGGATTAGATAGCAGACGATTTTAAGAAGATAATAGGTAAGTAATAATAAGAGCTCTAAGATTATCTCTTAAAGAATTAAGTCTATATTTAGTATTAAAAAGGATTATAGATTTCTTAGGCTCTTATAATAGTAGTTTAAGTATAAGAGAATACTTAGCTAGATAAGCGGGAAATTAAACTACTACTAGACTTACTATTCAGCTCTTTTTTTAGATAAGATTCGGACTTATAATTAAGGAGAGAACTAAGTATAATAAATACTTTATTAGAACTCGCTTAATATATCGTTTCTATCTGTAAAGATTATAGCCTCTGAGAATATAGAGATAAGGTATTAGGATAGCTAAGAGAGAATATAAATAAGTGATCCCTTAAGGGGATAAGTTTTATTTTAGTATCCGGACCCTTAAGGACCTTTATATATTAAACTCTCTATAGAAGGTAAAGATCTCTATAGAGCTTTTCCTCTTATTAATATTAAGAGAGAGAAATTATTTCTAATAAGACTAAAGAGATAATATACTAATCAGCCTCTAGTATAGAGACTAAGAGATAATAATTTACTAGATCTTACCCTAGCTCCTACGATATACTTAAGAGACGAAATATTACTCTCTTTTTAAGTACCTAGCTAAAATAAACTATATTTAGAGTCTATTTATCTAAGTTAGTATATTATAGAACTAATCTCTCCGGAATAAGTAAAATCACTAGTAAGCCTTAGTAAGATATATACTAAGGAGCTTTAATATAATAGAGCTAGAGATTATCTTAATAAGAAGCTTTATATCTTTACTAATCTTTACTAATAAGTATTAGTAGAGTTCATGCTATAGTATAAGGTATTTCTATTTATACTCCGGGATAAAGCCTTATTATACTACTACTAGTACCTCTAGAATAAGGGGTACTTATTCGATAAGCTAGTATAAGCTACTTATAATAATTATAAGATAGAGGAGAGAGCTAATTAATACTTAAGTTAATAGTTTAGTATAACTTTTTCTACGTTTTAGAATAAGCTACTTTAGAAAGGTAAATTAGCTTTAATATAGTTAAAAAGCTTCGCGAGAGAGCTATAAAGTATCTAATTAGGTCTTAAGAATAATAGTATATAGAACAATGAAATATTATATAATAAGCTAGTATAAGGAGTTTTAAGAAATCCCTTATTTAAAATAGCTTTATTTAAGCTACTTCTGATATTTCTTATATTAATAAATAGCTTTCGCGTAGCTATAAGCGTAGAAATAATATAAGATTCCGGATCTAGATCTAAGAGATACTTCGGAAATAATTCGAATTAGCTCTAAATATATATTATAAATAGTAACACTTACTACTTAGACTAAAGGATAAAATTCTCTCTAGGGAATAAATATAGAGATAGATTTAAAGTATTCCTAGGCTATATAAGATATATTATCTGTAAGAAAATAGACTATTATAGTAGCTATTACTTTAACTAAGAGTAGGTAGTCTTAAAAGTAAGGTATTTTATAGAACAGAAAGCTAAGGGTATTAAGTCTATAGAAAAGTCCTATAAAGTATATATAATATACCTTAAAAAGAAAGAGTCAGATTCGGAGCTTAATCAGGATTAGTTTAGAGGACTTAGTAAAGACTATAAAAAGAATAATTCTGATATTTTTATAGAAGATAATAATAACTATTCTAATAATACTAAAGTAGATATAGAGGATAGAGATAGAATAGTACACTTTATTACTATATTCTATATATCAGAAATAGAATATAATATAAGGTAAGTTCTCTAGTACCTCGAGAAGTATAAAGTAATTCATATCCTCTAAAGTATAGTTAAGTAACCTAAGCTTAAGATAATAATAGAAGCTTTTATTACTTAGTAGTCTAAGATAGTTTTTTAAAGTCTTTTAATTAATACTAAAGTATTAAAGAGAAATATAAGTAGTCTTAATTAGTTATGAGCTTTATAATAAACCCGGAAAGTTATATTTAATAAAAGAGAAGCAGGTTGTTATCGGATCTAATTTAGAGCTAGTATAAGAGTAGTATTAGGAACTATTATAATTAATATACCTATCAGATAATTAGAATTTGTAATTATAGATACTAATATACTATTCTTAATATACCTTTGATAGCTTAATAAGCTAGAGATCTACTATAATAACTTTACTAATACCTTAGTTTAAAGGGATATTAAGTACTTAATTATCTGGAAAAATAAGTATATATAGCTTCTTCTAGATTAATATTACTAATTATTAGAGTATTTAGATAGAGATATATTAGCTTATTACTTAATAGAAACAGAGATTCGTAGACTCTATAGGCGGTTTAGTTACTTATTAGTATAATATTTATAATATCTTTTAGACTAAGTAGGTTATATTGTAAAGAAGTGGGGTAGTGCCGTTAAAATACATAATAAGCAGGGACATAGAGGACTACTAACTAAATAAGTAGTAAGAGTAGGAGAGAGAAGATGATATATTTATTACGCGCTATCACGCTTATCTATATAACCTTATAGAACAGGCTAATTATCTTCCGACCTAGAATCACACTACCCTACTACATACGTCCCCCCCTAATTAAGCAGTCGCCCCCTGACTATATCCCCTGATATATCGTATAAACAAAAGAAACATACGGATACTCCTCCTAACCGTCTACCTCTATTATATTACCTACACCCGCTACTAAGCACTCCTCGGCCTCCTCTATAAATAATAGGCTTTTCTTTAATACGATCTCTATTACTTCCTCACTTAGCTAGTTAGCGTTAGCCTCTACCTCTCTTATTAGAATACTTATAGCCTTTAATACCTTCTTTAAGTAGTAAAAGGACTTCTCTTTAAACGCCTTCTTCTCTACCCTCCTTACTATCTTAAAAGCCTCTATAGCTATAACTAGTGCCTTAGCTCTTCACTTGTTAATAAAGCTATAGGCTACTACTTGATCCCCTCCTAATAGAACGTTTCTCTAAGCTATTACTACTAGTGAACTCTATTATTATTGCATAACTAGAGTATTAGATAGAGTACCTAACCCGGAAAGCTTAACTATAGTAGTGAACTAAAAGAGAATAGCTCTGTACTAATTTATAAGGCCTAATAAGGTAGCTAGAGGTATAGTGAAATCTTAATAGGAGTTAGCCAGATCTCTCTAAGTTCCCCTTTCTATAACCTCTAAGGTTTCCTTATTATCCTAAATTATAATAAACTATAGTAAGATAATCTAACGAACTTTCATCGCGGGCCTAGTTAACTTATATAAGATCTTTAGTAGCGTAATCCGTATATCTCTAGGGCTGCAAGAAGTCCTAACCTAATCTACTCCTAGGACCTCCGTATCCTCTTAAGTAAATATTTAGTCTGTGATTTAGTAAATATAGTAGTTAGTATTCTATTCTCGCTCGCGAACACGCGCTTACTACTCGCCTAGCTTATATTATATCCCTAGATAGTAGAAAGTATAATTATCCTTATCCTCTTAATCTAGTAAGACACTACCTTAAATTATAGTAGCCCCTTGATTAGTAGTAAGTATATTATTGATATTTAAATCGATATAACAGAAAAAGGTTCTATCTCCTAGTATAGTGTATTTAGTATAGTAAGGGTAACTAACTAGTCTTCACTTCTTATCAGGATAAAGAGCTATATATATTATATAGTAGGCGGGGTCTTAGCGTATAAGCTACTAAGTTACTAAAAAAAATATATTCCGTAGCTATCTGATATTCTTATACCTATTAATCTCTCGCAAGTAGTACTAGTATATATCTAATTTATTATAAATTTACTTTCCGAGAAGGGAACTAAACTACTATTTAAAGAGGGAGCGAATAACTTATCTATTCTCTTCCTACTATAGTAAGATCGTTAGATCTTAGCTATCTAGAATTAGCTTCTAATTATAATCGAATAATTCGAGCCCCTCTTTCTTATAAAATTTATAAGGTTTAAGCCTATCTGATAAGTAAGGAGAGCGATTAGCTATATAAAACTAAATATAAATCTCCGGGTCTATCTTTAGCTTTCCGATTTCTAACTTCTTATCATATATAATATATAGTCTCTTAATAGCTAAACCTTCCGAGAGCTACTTTATATAAAGACTTATACGCCCTGCTATTAATCGTAAGTAACTATAGTAAACTCGCCGAAATCCTAGTATCTTACTTAAGAGCTTTATTATTACTATAATTAGTAGAACTTTTTTTCCTTCTATTACAGTTTTCTAGCTAGTAGTTATATTCTTCTTATAGTTATACTTCTACTTATCTCCGCCCTCCTTATTAATC